ATCATCAGTTATCAGGGAACTGCAAATTAGTTCTATAATGAGATATTAATGCATATCATTCAAAACAGATAAAATAAAAAACTCATGACGACAATACCAAATGATGGTGAGGATACAAAGAACCTTATTTTCTCAAGCATTGATAATGGAAATGTAAAATCATATAATCACTCTGGAAAATACCTTGTCAGTTTCTTTTTTAAAAATTTAAACATAACAACTACCGTAAGATCCTTAATTGCACTCTTAGGCATTTATCCCAGAGAAATGAAAACATATGTCCACTCAAACACCTGTACATTAATGTTCATAGATGTGTTATTTCTAATAGCCAAAATATGGAAATAATTACAATGCTCCTCAATAGGTGAATGGGTAAACCAACTGTAGTGCAGATGATATCGTACCCAATCTCTGTGGTACAGCAACACAAAGGAACAAACTATTGATACACACAATGACTTGGATGGATCTCAAGGCCATTACGCTGAGTGACAAAGCTCATCTTGAAAAGACACATACTGCATGATCCCTTTTATATAACATTCTCAGAATGACAAGAGTACTAAGACAGAAAACATATTAGTGATTGCCAAGGGTTGAGGATGGTGGGCGATCAGGGGGGTGAGGGACTCTCAAGGAGTAGCAGAGGCAGACCTTTGTGGTGCTAGAGGATTTCAGTATTCTCACTGGCATGGTGGCTACATGAATTGACACCTGTGATAAATGACACACACACAATGAACCATTGTCAGTCTCCTGCCTTTGATATGATACTATGGTTATAGAAGTTGTAACAATTAGGGGACATTAGGTGAAGGGTTAGTACACAGTTTTGTGTACTAACTTTGCAATTTTCTATGAATCTACAATTATTTCAAAATAAAAAGTTGGCTGGACATGGTGGCTCATGCCTGTAATCCCAGCACTTTGGGAGGCCAATAAGGGCAGATAACCTGCAGCCAGGAGTTCAGCCCAGCTTAGCCAACATGATCAGACCCTACCTCTACTAAAAATACAAAAGTTAACCAGGTGTGGTAGTACACATCTGTAACCCCAGCTATTCAGGAAGAGGTAGGAGAATCGCTTGAACCTGGGAGGCACATGTTGCAGTGAGCTGAGATTGCTCCACTGAACTCCAACCTGGGCAACAGAGCAAGACTGTGTCTCAAAAATAAATAGATAAATAAATAAATAAATAAATAAATGTAAATAAGTTAAAAACTTTTTAATGTTTAGAAGTATGAACACAACATTTATCAGCTAGGCATAGCTAAAGAGAGAACTGGTAAATTGTAAATAATTTGACTGAAGTATGGAGATTAAAAAAAAAAAAAAGGAATGGCAGTGCGCGGTGGCTCAAGCCTGTAATCCCCGCACTTTGGGAGGCCGAGGCGGGTGGATCACGAGGTCAAGAGATCGAGACCATCCTGGTCAACATGGTGAAATCCCGTCTCTACTAAAAATACAAAAAATTAGCTGGGCACGGTGGCGTGTGCCTGTAATCCCAGCTACTCAGGAGGCTGAGGCAGGAGAATTGCCTGAACCCAGGAGGTGGAGGTTGCGGTGAGCCGAGATCGTGCCATTGCACTCCAGCCTGGGTAACAAGAACGAAACTCTGTCTCAAAAAAAAAAAAGAATGTGAGACATGTAAAAGGGCCTGCAAGAGGTACACAGTCTGCAGAAAGATTTAACATACACATAATCAAAGTCCCAGAAGGGGAGAAGAAGGGAAATGAAGAGAAGCAAACTTTGGGAAGTTAATAGGTTAGAATTTTCTAAAATTGAGGAGAGACACCAAGTTACAGATTCAGGAAGTTCTGTGAAATCCAGGAAGAATAAGTACAAAAAATATTATCCTTTTATCACAGTAAAACAAAGACAAAAATCAAATGCTACAAGCAGTACCCCCCAGTGTGGGCACAAGAGGAAATGTCATATTTTTACATGTTCTTCATCATCAAAACATTAAAATTATAGCTGACATCACAACAGAAATCATTGAAGAAAGAATTCAATAGACTTATACAAAGTACCAAAAATAAAACTAGCTACCAAACATTCTAAAATTCTATACCTAGAAAAAATATCCTCCAAAAGTAAAGGCAAAAGAAAGACACTTTCAGAATAACAAAAGTGAGATAACTCATTGTATCAAATTTACACTAAAAATTTCCAAAGGGAATTCTACAGACTAAAGGAAAAGGTGCCAGATAGAAATATGAAAATGTCCAGAGATAAGAAAATGGAATAATATGAAACAATTAATCCAAGAAGAGACAAACAGAGAGAAAAGCAATCAAATAACAGTTGGGCCAAATAAAAAACAAATAGACAGTAGAACATTTAAATGTATTAATAACTACATTGAGTGTAAATGAACAAAATAAATATCAGTCGTCACACTGGATTTAAAAGCCAATTTTTAAAATAGCAACAATTAATGCTTCTTTCACAGGATACATCTTAAATATAAATGAACAGGAAGGTTAAAAGTAGGATGGAAAATGTCTATATCATGCAAACATTAGCCAATAGAAAACAGATGTAAAAAAAAGAAAGAGAGAAAACAAATGTGATTATTGCAGCGTCAAAGTAGACTACAGGACAAGATTTATTACTAGAGATAAAGTGGGCATTTTCTAGTGATAAATGATCTTTCACCAGGAAGTTATGACAATTCTAAATGCGTATGCACCAAATTAATATGCTTCAAAACAGGTACAAAGTTTAACAGGTATAAAAGTGGAAACAGCCATGTCTACAATCATAGTGTGAGATTTTAGCATACCTCTCTCAGCCACTAATGTGCATTTCTTTGGTTATTAGAGGACCAGAACTGGTTTTGTGTTCTTATTTGTTTTTTGTGATTATATTTGAAACTGACTCTTCATGTATTTTGCATATTTTTCCATTGGAATGCTGCCTTTTTGCTTACTGATATGTAAGCCTTCTTTTTAAGATTTACCTTACAACATAGGCTGTTCTTGCCAGCACTGGTCTTTTTATTTTATGAGTTTTGAAATTTTTGTAAAATACAATGTTCTCAACATTTCAAGTGATGTTTCCTGCATTGTTTTCATTCTTGAAACTTAAAAGAGTGTGTTTTGATTGATTTATTTTTCCTTAGAGTATTCTAATGAGACTTAATATTGTCACTATAGGTTCAAAGAAATTCACCTCATTTAAATAGAATCTATTCAAATTGTACTGAAATCGTATGTGGGAATTTAAAGGGAGATCTTTCTTTCTACCTGAATGATCTTTCTTCCAAATCTTTATTTATTTAACAAATATTTATTGAGCTTTTGTTCAGTGCTAGACACTGTTTCAGGAGCTAGGGATAAAACAGGGATTCAAATAGACCTTCCCTCCAGGCACATTCTATTGGGAAGAAGGAGGCAGTAAATATGTATGGCCTGTGGAGATGCATGCAATGGAGAAAGATAAGGCATAGCAGGAGGAGAGTCAGGCATTCAGGATAAGATGGCACATGCACCTCAATCCACTGGCAGACTCTTCTCATCCTTCAGTATGTCTTGGCTGTCACCTTGCTCTGCATGCTAGTTTTGAGCCGTGTCAGTCCTTCCACATTACACTGCTTTGCTTATGCTCCTGACTCTTCCATAGCCTACCCGGATTAGGGTAAAATTTTACATAAAATCATACCTGCCATGACTTCCTCAGTCACGTTAGCTATTCAATAGATGGGAAGTAACTTGAATTGACAAAAAAAATTGGAGGTAAAAAGCATTTCTCGAAGAGTAATTCTTAAATAAAAAGCAGTAGATGTTATTAATGTGTTGTTTATAAAAAAACTCTTCAACCTAGATTTCTGTAACACTTAAGAAACGTCCAGAGACTAAAGAGTGTTTATCTACATGTTTCTTAATTCTGGATTCAAATAAGAACCTTGAAGTTGCTGTGAAACATTTCTGATGCCAGGTTGTGTCCACAGAGATTCTGGCAAAGTCAATCAGGAGCAAAGCCTGGGCATCAGTAATTCTTCAAAGATCCCCAGGTGACCTCATACGCAGCCAGGCTGAACACCATGGGGTAGTGACACAATGTGACATTTAATCGTCACCACACATGTGCATCACTTTCAGGCACATTATACCAGCACAGCCACCTCAGTTATAACAATTCCCACCTCTAGTCGCAAAGTCAACAATTTTTTCCCCACTGGGAAATGCGCACCTGTGCACAGGAGAACCGGCATGCTACTTGGCTAGTTAGAAATTTCATCTATGATTAGTCACTGCCTGCTGGCAACACACCTCTCACAAGTGATGTATCTTAGTTTCTACTGAGAACAAGTGGTCTAGGCAGCAAGACCTGCTGTTTTTATTTATTTCTTTATTTATTTTGAGACGGAGTTTCGCTCTTGTTACCCAGGCTGGAGTGCAATGGCACGATCTCGGCTCGCTGCAACCTCCACCTCCTGGGTTCAAGCAATTCTCCTGCTTCAGCCTCCTGAGTAGCTGGGACTACAGGCACGCGCCACCATGCCCAGCTAATTTTTGTATTTTTAGTAGAGATGGGGTTTCACCATGTTGACCAAGATGGTCTTGCTCTCTTGACCTCGTGATCCACCCGCCTCAGCCTCCCAAAATGCTGGGATTACAGGCGTGAGCCACCGCGCCCGGCCTGTTTTTTTTTTAATTTAACTCACTCATCATTATTCCTCATCACATAGAGCATTTAACATGTCACAAAGGGTTGTCAAGGGGTGATCATGCCGTGTTCCTTTTAACAGGAAGCAGAAACAAGATGCCTTGGCTTAACAGAATCCACCAGGCAGGAGGTTCTGGTTCTTTTTATTTGAGAGTGTGGTGGAGTCTTTTTCCAGCCTTCTTCAAGAAGACAATGTGTCACATGGCCTGCCACCATCACCGCAACTTGCAAAGTAGCTCTGGCTTCCCCTGGGCCTCCCCCCAGGCCCCGGCAGGGCTGAGACTCCCCTGACCACCATATGCAACAACTGCTGCTGGACTTACAAAGAATGGAATCAGGCCAGCCGCCTTGTCTCTCTCCAGGGCTTCCTGCAGGGCAGACCCACGCATGGCAAAGTTGCCATCTGAGGGGATGGCTTTTAACTTCACTCCACCAATTAACCCAGCTCTTTCCACTGAGGAGTGTGCCTGGAAAGAAAACAGCAGAGTTGGATTTCTACAGGTGTGTGTGACACAGCTTTACCAGGCCCTGGATCCACAGAGAGCAGCCACCATTGCAAACCCAAGGTCCCTCTCACGTCGCAGTGGGCAGAACCGCTCTTGACTCCTCCCTCTCCCCTGCACCTTCATGAGACCCCTTTTTTCCTAGAGTTGTTTCTATTCCTGTGGAATCTTGATTTTAAGTTTAAATAACCAGGCACTAACAAGGGTAAAGTGCTGGGTCAATATTCATGAAGTTTGTCATTTGTTTGAATTCAAGAGCGAGTAGCGAGACTGGAAAGTAGATACCAGAGGTGGACTTAGAAATCCAGGCTCAAATCTGTGCCTGCCCCTGACTGTGGGGCCCTGGGGAGCCTAGTGGCCAAGGTAGGTAAACAATGCCTGGAGGAAAGAAACCAGCCAGGAGGCATCACCACTGTGGCAGATCCATCCTCTCCTAGAGATTCTCAGGAAAGGCAATTCTCATGAAAGCCACCACCTCGTGCCCTGCAGCCCCGCTGCCACTGTCTCCTGCTTGACCCTAACCAGGGGCCTGAAATCACAGAATAACAAAGCTGCAGGGCCCAGGTCTTTGATCCCCATGCCCAGTTTCTCTACAGCGCTGTTCAGAAGGCAGGCCAGATAATCACAACGTAAGTCCACGCTGGTAGAAAAGGGGACAGAGCCAGTCACAGTGATGTCTCCACACGTTAGTTTCCTTTTTAACCTAATCTATCCAGTTCCCACCCAAGAATCCACCCCTTCCCTTTAGTTCAGGTCTCTGTTTAGTGATACCTGAGGAACTGTTCTTAGATTTGGAAGGATGCTGATTGGTTTGGTTTGGTTTGAATTTGACAAAAAACCAAATCTTCAGGTCTTGAAGTCTTGGCTGATACTCCCTCACACTCACCTGATCGGATGAGTAAGCCACCAGGTTCTCCATGATGGCAGCCTGTGTCAGCTCTGGGGACTCTGCCTGTAGCCGATGGATCACTTTGGTCCGAGCAGCCAGCAGGGCCATCAGGGTGGCTTCGCTGGCACTTCCCTAAATCCAAGAGAAGGTCCAAATGAAATCCCCAACATAGCAAAGACATTGTTACCTACACTATTGGAAGAACATATTGTTTTGTGTCCATATCCTTCTTAAAATATGAATCTGAAATGGCAAAGTTCACTCTCCTCTGCCTGGGAGAAAACTATTTTTGACACCTGAGACCACCACCTCAGCTCTTTGTATGAGTTTGCCATTGCTGGGTCCATGCTGTGTAACAGCCGCAGCGAACATTTCTGACCACTTCCCTGCAGCAGGTATTGTGAGAGCGTCTCCTCATGGACTGTCCCCAGCCCGGCTAGGAGGACTGCTCCTGCCTCCATCAGAGTAGAACGGCCCAGGGCACCAGCATGCAAACCCACTCTGTGTTCATACTCACTCAGACAGAGAGATTTGCATTTGTCTATAAAATGGGGGTGGATTTTCCTTGAGACTAAGAGATGCCTTGAAGGATTTCTTTTGATCCCCAATGACAGGGGCTGGATTGTGTCTCCCCAAATTCATATGTTGAAGCCCTAACCCCCAGGACCTCAGATGTGACCATATTTGGAGATAGCCTCTTTAGAGAGGTAATTAAAAGAAAATGAGGTCACATTGGATTGGCTGGGCTCTAATCCAATCTGACATGTTCCTGATAACAAAATTTGCCTATAATCCCAGTGCTTTGGGAGGCAGAGGAGGGTACACCACTTGAGCCCAGGAGTTTGAGACCAGCCTGGGCAACATACTGAAACCCCATCTCTATAATAAAAATACAAAAATCAGCCAGGCATGGTGGCGTGCCATAGTCCCAGCTACTCAAGAGGCTGAAGTGAGAGGATGACTTGAGATTGGGAGGTGGAGATTGCATTGAGCTGTGATTGCAACACTGCACTCCAGCCTGGGTGACAGAGTGAGACCCTGTCTCAAAAATAAATAAATAAATAAAAAGAAGAGGAAATTAAGCCCCCAGACACAGGCGTGCACAGAGGGAAGACCATGTGAGGACACAGGGAGAAGGAGGCCATCTGCAAGCCCAGGAGAGAGGCCCCCAGAGAACCAACCCTGTGAGCACTTGGATTTGGAGCTTTCAGCTTTCGGGACTGTGAAAAAAGAAATTCTAGGACCTAGAAATAGAAATTCCATTTGACCCAGCAATCTCACTACTGGGTATATATCCAAAGGATTATAAATTGTTCTACTATAAGGACATATGCACAAGAATGTTCATTGCAGCACTGTTTACTATAGCAAAGACCTGGAACCAACCCAAATGCCCATCAATGATAGACTGATCAAGGAAAATGTGGCACATATACACCATGGAATACTACGCAGCCATAAAAAACAATGAGTTCGTGTCCTTTGTAGAAACATGGATGAACCTGGAAACCATCATTCTTAGCAAACTGACACAAGAACAGAAAATCAAACACCGCATGTTCTCATTCATAGGTGGGTGTTGAACAACGAGAACACATGGACATAGGGAGGGGAGCATCACACACTGGGGTCTGTTTGGGGGAATAGGGGAGGGACAGTGGGGGGTGGGGAGTTGGGGAGAGATAGCATGGGGAGAAATGCCAGATATAGGTGAAGGGGAGGAAGGCAGCAAATCACACTGCCATGTGTGTAACAATCTTGCATGTTATTCACATGTACCCCAAAACCTAAAATGCAATAAAAAAAGAAAAAAGAAATTCTCCTTCTATCCGCCCAGTCTGTGATATTTTGTTAGGGCAGCCCTGGCAAACTAATAGATTCAGTGCCTGTTACATTATCCCATTTAAATTGTAAAATAATCCCGTTTTTGTGTTTTATCATCTTCAGATGGGGAAACAGATGGCCAGACAGGTTCAATAACTTGCCTCAAATCAGCAGCTAGGTAGGGCATGGTTAGGAGTGAGCCGATGCCCGCCCTTTCTAGTGTGCCATGGGCCTAGAAAGGAAGGGGTGGCAAGCATCTTCCCTCTTAAGTAAGTCCCAGAAGAAACCCATCTACCGACCGGTATGAAAGGACATTCGAAAGGACAAATGAAAAAAAGGTAGATTCTTGTTGACTATGAAAAAGTTAATAACATGATATGTTTTATAGGGAAATATATAATAAAATAATTAAGTGGAAATGCTAACCTCTCTTCTTAACATGTGATGCTCTGTCCTTTGATCCTGATTCCTCATGTTGATTTTACTGTGACACTACTTATTCTTTCGCGCCAACTCACATCCTTTGGAGAGACAGTAATATTGGAAGATAAATACATTTATTCGTGTTTCTGTAGCACTTAGGGATGGGTTCAAATATACAGATATATGCTTCTCTTAATTCAGCCTCTAAAATGGGTACTTTATTTCCTTCAGGCTGCATTTTCATGAGCAATTGTTTTAGACGTTGTTTTACAGAAGGTTTACAAACTTGGCCAGAGGAGGGAGAGGTGGGGGAAAACAACCTTGGCTGGCAAAGCTAAACCAGCCATCCCAGGAAACCCAGGCTCCCAGAGAGCAGGCACTTTACACCTCTTCCATGCACCCCATCATGCCTCTCCCTTATTTCCTCCTGTCCTTCTATATACCCCCACAAAGATTTTATTTCTCATGTCCTACCCATTCCCATTGGAAATGTAACGTGAAAAGCCTAGTGGAAGGCATGGCTCCCTGTTCTCATGCTTGACACACAGGCGTGACTGCAGTTTCCCTGGCTAAACTCTACCTTCTGCTTTAAGCCTTGGGACACCAGTGTTCATTCTCTGAACATTCTGATGAAAGGCCCTGAATCACCATGACAACTCATTATGACTTTCCTAAGAAAAAAATTCACCTGCTTAAGTCAACAAAATGATTCTTTAAAAGCCCAAAGGAGCAAATCGTCAGTAGCACATCTAGAACCACACTGCCCCGATGCCACCAGGGTGGCCTGGTGGCCTTGAGCATGATGTCAGGTGGAGCTCTCTGCGCTTTGCTGGCAGAAGGTCTTTGCGGATGGAAGTGTGGGGAGGGTGACGTGCAGTACAGAGCAGGAACGATGGCTCTGCACGATGGCAGCAGACAAAGGTTGCCATGGCAAGCCTGCTCGAGAGGCAGGAGGGGATGCTGGTGAGGTCTGACACTTCCGGCTGCTGATGCCGTGAGCAGAAATGTCCTTTCATCTTCTGCTTTTTTTCAAACCAAAAAATTGGCTTTTCTTCCACAGGAGCTTTCAACCCCTATTAAGAGACCATTTCTGCAGCCCACATTTGTCCAGCCTCACAATGACAGTTTGCCATTTGATTCAGACACCCATCGCTGTGCGGACGCCCACAGCTATGATTACAGCTCTGAGGGGATCGATGATAACACAGGCTGGCTCACAGGCTGTCACCAGGCTCCTGTACTCTTCGGGGCCTCACCAATTACAGACAATCAGCCTTGTCTGCTGGGAAGGGTGAGCTTCCAGCAGCAAACACAGACCCTATTTCTTGCTTTCATCCAGAAAAAAAAAACTGGGCTCACAGGAAGATTGTGTTAAAGCTGGGGCTGAGCGATGCCAAGAATATTCCTACCCAAATGCTAGGGGCTTGTGTGCTCTCTCAAAAAACGAGGTTGTCTTTAATGAAAATGCAACATGTACGTCTCTGGACACCAACCCAACATGACGGTCAGGGATGAGCTGGTGTCACCATCATAACTCTGGTTGTCTTTCCGACCAGCCTTGGCTGTAATTTGCCTTTGCTGCTATGCATGTTCCACTAACTTTCTGGGTGGACCTCAATATCCTTATCCATGAAAAAGATTGTCAATAATGCAATCACTCCTCATACATATTTTGAGGATGAAGACAGTAACGTAAAGCACAAGACGTAGGCTAAAATGAAGCCAAGCTCATAGTTGCTATGTAATGAGAAGTCGCTGTTATTATAATAGACACACCTTATATCATGGGGGCTTGATAAGATTTTTTTGAGAAGTATCTAATTAGAGGAGCCATCTTGGACTGCTGAAAAAAATGGAATATGAAATTATTTCTGTTATAAGATGCAATCACCTAGTAACGCTTCAATTTTTGTTTTGTTCCATTTTGATTTGGGGCGGGGGGAGCATGAATTTTCAACATGAACAGCCAGGAGAGCCCCGGGAGTAAGCTGATCATCCTGGAAGATGGTTGCACTTCATCCTGAAGAGTATCCTTCAAAATGTTTTTTATAAGAATGAAAAATTTGATGCAACACAAATATCTTAGATACTATTTATATAGATTGAGACACATTATAGAAAATCATGCAGTACTATTTTTTCAAAGAATATTTAAATAGTGGGAAACACATAATAAAATGATAAGGAAAGCACCATGTGTCGTATTATTTCAATTTTGTTTGTAAACATACATTCACATGTAGATACTGAAGTAACAGGGAATATGACAAGAAAGCTCCTATGTCCTCTCATTTTTATGGTAAATGTCCAGTGTCTAGGTAGAAAAGGGGCAATCTTTTTTTTTTGAGACAGAGTCGCACTCTGTCACCCAAACTGGAGTGCAGTGGCACAATCTCAGCTCACCTCAACTTCCACCTCCCAGGTTCAAATGATTCTCCTGCCTCAGCCTCTCGAGTAGCTGGGATTATAGGCACATGCCACCACGCCCAGCTAATCTTTAAAATTTTAGTAGAGATAGGGTTTCACCATGTTGTCCAGGCTGGTCTTGAACTTCTGACCTCAAATAATCCACCTGCCTCGGCCTCCCAAATTGCTGGAATTACAGGCATGAGCCACTGCACCTGGCCCATAATCATTGTTTAAAGTGGAATCGTAGAATCAAGGTTGCCATCGAAGACAATAAATTGTCAGTGTGGAAAACTGAAACGATGTGGAGAAAACCAGAAAAATCTTCCCAAAAATATAGAAGAGAAGATGACAAAAAAGGGAAATATCAAAAGAAAGAGAGAAATCATGGAAGAGATACTTAATCTGTGGAAAATTGAAGCCCCCGAAAAAGAGTGGTGTGGCCAACAATAACTAACACACAGTAGGAGAAAAATCTCCACACTGCACAGAGCTGAGTGGTGGATCAGCAGGGCTCAGCAAATGCTAGGGAGGGCAAAATGAGAGCAACAGGCTGGGCACGGTGGCTCACACCTGTAATCCCAGCACTTTGGGAGGCCGAGGTGGGTGGATCAGGACTTTGAGACCAGCCTGGGCAAAATGGTCAAACCCTGTCTCTACTAAAAATACAAAAATTAGCTGGGCATGGTGGCAAGAGCCTGTAATCCCAGCTACTTGGGAGGCTGAGGCAGGAGAATCGCTTGAACCCGGGAGGCAGAGGTTGCAGTGAGCTGAGATCGTGCCACTGCACTGCAGCCTGGGTGATAAGAGCAAGACTCCGTCTTGAAAAAAATGGGGGGGTAACAAATGGAAAAGTAGATCTTGGCTCATGTATGAAACTGAAAGGAAATGTAAGTCAGCCACCAGCATCCAGGCCTCTTGTAAAGCGGTAGACCATGCATGCCCTTGCCTGGCCTCTGCAGGCACACAGCTGTCCCACTAGGTCCCTGATTGCAGCCACCCTCTGTCTCTGGACACTCAGACTCTGCTTTTTGTAGGCAAGTGTGGTGAAGACATCCCTGGAGAATCAGGACTGATGTCCCAGAGGCTGGAAAGCCGGCTGGCGTTCACCAAGGCAAACTGCAGTCAGCAGTGCATCGGCTATGGACGGTGCATAGCAGCCCCCTCCCCTCGCTGGAAGGGCACCTGTGACAGCCTATCTTTGCTGTGATCTTGCCCAAGGAGGCTTCTCCAGCTGCATACCCACTGACAAGAAGAAAATTGTGCTGGGAATGAAGCACGCTGCTTTTGCTGAGCCGTTGTTGCTGCTGGGTAGACGGGTACAGTTCACAGCAACATACTGAAGCTTTGCTTACAACATAGCTGACGTTTTCTTTCCCTTCCCTCCTCCCTCCTTTCTTTGAGGCTTCCTTCCTTCCTCTCTCTCTCTCTTTCTCTTTTTCTCTCTTTCTTTCTTTCCAGGCCAGAGTGTAATCGCTGCAACCTCCACCTCCTAGGTTGAAGCAATTCTCTGCCTCAGCCTCCCAAGTAGCTGGGATTACAGGTGCCCGCCACCACACCCAGATAATTTTTGTATTTTTAGTAGAGACAGGGTTTTACCATGTTGGCCAGGCTGGTTTCAGACTCCAAACCCCAGGTGATCCGCCCACCTCGGCCTCCCAAAGTGCTGGGATTACAGGCGTGAGCCACCGTGCCTGGCCTGACATTTCAATTTCATCACCTCCCTATTTAATATCACTTATGTCTGATGGAAATTGGGATAACCAAAGAATTCAAGGGAGGAGCACTTGGAGGGAGAGCTCTGAGCCTGGCCACAGGGCTTGTGGGTCACAGAGAAGGCCGCCATCAGTCCCCAGTCCCGGCATGTGGCCTGTTCAAGGTTCTCTTCATCATCCGGGCAAATTAGAGTTCATTTTATTTGCCCCAGATTCTAGGAATAGGCATTATAAGCAAGTTCCTTCCATGACTCTGAAGCACACTGGATGTGGTAGCCAGATTAACGCAGAACCAAAGATTCAGGTCTTGGTCCCCAGAATCTGTGATTGTTTCCCTTACAGGGAAAAGGTGACTTGCTGATGTGATTAAGTTGAGTCTTGACTCGGGTGATGATCTCAGATTGCCTGGATGGATTCAATCCAATCGCAAGTGTCCTTAAAAGTGGAAACCGGCCGGGCGCAGTGGCTCACACCTGTAATCCCAGCACTTTGGGAGGCCGAGGTGGGTGGATCATGAGGTCAAGAGATCAAGACCATCCTGGTCAACAAGATGAAACCCCGTCTCTACTAAAAATACAAAAATTAGCTGGGCATAGTGGCGCGTGCCTGTAGTCCCAGCTACTCGGGAGGCTGAGGCAGGAGAATTGCTTGAACCCAGGAGGCGGAGGTTGCGGTGAGCCGAGATCGTGCCATTGCAGTCCAGCCTGGGTAACAAGAGCGAAACTCCGTCTCAAAAAAAAAAAAAGGGAAACCCACTTTCTTATCTTATATGTGGTCAGAGGGAGATGTGGCCATGAAAGTGTGAAAGGAAAATAAATCTCGGGACCCCCAAAATCACTAAGCCAAAGGGCTTAGTGGGAAGTCAAGCTGGGAACTGCTTAGGCCAAACCTGCCTCCCATTCTATTCCTAAAAGAGATAGCTACTAAGATAAAAAGCTACATGCCTCCCTCACAAGGAATTTCCTTTTGAGCGAAGGGCAGAAAGTCACAGAACTCAGTCACCCCTCTGCCCACTGACATAGCTGCACATCTGATCGCCTCCTTTGGAAAGGCTAATCAGAAACTCAAAAGAATGCAACAGATTGTCTCTTTATCAACCTATGACCTGAAAGCTCCCATCCTGCTTCAAGTTGTCCTGCCTTTTCAGACCAAATGTATATCTTACATCTGTTGATTGATGTATCGTGTCCCCCTCAAATGTATCAAACCAAGGGCACATCGTCAGGATCTCCTGAGACCATGTCACGGGCAAGCATCCTTAACTTTGGCAAAATAGACTTTCTAAGTTGATTGAGACCTGTCTCAGATATTTGGGATTTGCAAAAGAAAGGTCAGAAAGATAGGACACGGCTGGCTTTGAAAATGGAAATGGGGACATGGGCCAAGGAATTTCGGGAGCCTCTAGAAGTCAGAAGAGGCAAGGAAACAGATTCACCCTGGGCCTCCAAGGTATCAAGTTTGGTTTTAGCTCAGTAAGACCCAGGTCGGACTTCCGACATACGGAACTGTAAGGTAATCGATTTGCCTTGTTTTGAGCCACTAACATTTGTCACAACATCAACAGAAACAAATACAGGGGCACGGAAAATTCTCAGTCCCATTGCACAGTCTTAGGACTGGAAGTGGCGAGACTTGCCCGCTAGTTTCATGCGGCCACACCAGCCGTGTACTTTGCACGAAGGTGCTCTCCAGTCTGTGCCTCACTGTTCCCACCCACTGAATGGGCCTTCGCCAATTCTCAGAGCCTTGTGGAAGACAATTTCTGAAGAGGAAGCCCCTTTTTCCCAATGTTAACAGTGCTTTTCTAATGAGACTATCATCTCTTTGACCCAAGAAAAATGATCAAGGGAGCGTTCTGGGTTTAATATAGTTCATATTCCACGCTAGGAAGTTTTTTTTTTTTTTTTAATGCATCAAATCCAAGTCAGCCCAGTGCCATTTGTCCTGCAACCCCTGTGGGATAGAAATCCCATCATGATTGTCATTTGTCTGTCTTGCTTCCTGGTGTAAACTCTGACACACAGTCACTCTCAACAACACACGTTACATGAAGAGAATGAATTCAATTGGTGCATAGAAGCAGCAGCATCTTTAAGTAAATGACTGGTTCAAAGACAAACAGCATTTCTAGCCTCTGAAGCCTGGTCACAGCTGCCACCTGTGCTGTCCTCAGAGGAAGATCACAGGCTGAGCCACACAGATACGGGGTCTGTAACTTACCAGCTGGGGGCCAGTGGGCAAGCTACCTACTGTTCTGGGCCCCGGTTTCCTCCCCTGTAAAAAGGGGTATTAAAATGTTTCTTCACTTGTAAAAAGGGGTATTAAGATTCATAGTGTCATTATAGAATTAAATGAGCTAATGCCTAGAAAATGCTGAGGCACAGTGGCCGGCGATGGGAATCCCATGCACATGTGCGTTACTGTAGTTGTTATTTTCAGGCACCCACTGTGTGATAGCCACTGTTCTACCTCCCATAGCTAGGGGCCTGGGGAACTGAGTGTCCTGCCCTGGGGAAGTGAGCGAAAGACAGTACTGGGATCCTAATCCAGATCCTGCCAATCCCCAGACCAGCATCTTCCCAGGACATCGGTTTTGTTTATTCTCCAGGAGAAATCTGAGGACCTCGCAAGAAGCATGAGCACCTCTTTTCCCACCTGCAGCTGCGGTCCTGTGCAGAGCCCATGCATCCCCAAAGTGGCCCTCCTTACTCCCACCTCCTGTATCCCACCTTACCTGGATCACTCCTCCCCCTTCTCCGGCTTTCACAGCCAAAAAGGCCTCTGGTAGCTCCAGCATCTTCCCAAGCCAGTCCATCATCACAGTCTCCAGTTCTGTACATGCTGGGCTTGCGGCCTGCGGTGGGGAGAGGGAAGGGATTAACCAAGGGCCAGGCATTGCAGAATTTTGGGAACAGCAGTAACAAGGGGACTTAACCTTCCACTAAAGCCCAGATTAAAATCACCCATCTCAGAAATGATTCAAAGGCCTGAAGCATGTTTGACCTAGACTCATGCAAGGAGAGTGGCTGGGAGGGAACACATGGGCTGCCATAATGAACCTTACTCCACTGAGTCCCACTGCAAGGACACTGAGGCCTTGCTAGAATATTCATTTGTTCATTTATAGAAGGGTCCAGAAAGCCCACTGGCAGACTTTCCTTCATAGTCACAAATGAAGGGAATGAGGAAGTGGGCACTGGGCAGCTGTGACCCTCTGGGCATCCTGAGAAGTCATTGATCTTGTCTTTTAAGCTCCCAGTGACTTTGCTCCGTGAACTCTCCCCTCTCTGCACAGGCTGGTCTTGGGCTCCACCCAATGGTGGATTGAGCCTCCACCTTCATAAAGGTCTCCAACATAAGGGGTCCAAGGCGGGGCTCTGAGGTGCTCTTGTGCCTAGATATGCATCCTGATGTGTCACTAGTATGATCTAAGTGAGAAGAGTGCCTTCTCCCTTCTGGTCAGCCCATCCTGCTGGGTTCTACCCTAGCCTGGCCAAACCCAGCTCTACCAGTAGCCTATGTGCTCTGCCAGGGACCAGGTATCAGGCAGCGCAGCCTGAGAGACAGCAAGACTCCCCCTTCAAGGCCCAAGGGGAATCAGATTGTCCTAGAATGAGCAGATAGAGATGGATGCCAACTATGCCTGCAGGGAAAGAATGGGTTTGGGCCAACAGAGCTAAATGAAATCCGCTACAATATCCAGTGAAAGACAATGCTCTTTAGGAGAGAGTGTGCTCAGCTCAGGCCACACTGAGGGGGCCCAGGCCAGCCCTGGCCAGCGGAGAGGAGGCCCCGGTGCCCGGCAGAGAGCAGTCCAGATACTGGCCGGAGTCAGTGATGGGTTTTTCAGCCCTGCCTATGGGGCCTTTGATGCCTGATCCAGTGCCCCAGCCCAAAGAAGAGCAAGCGCCAGGCTGGTGAAGCAGAGGTGGCTCAGCAGGCCCTTCGGCTCAGGGCTGTGAATTCATAATTAACAGCTCCTCTTATGCATCACAGCATGCCACATAGACTGATGCCCACGAGTCCACCTGGCTCCAAGCCACAGACAAGGTGAATGCTCTGGACGCCGAAGGCCAAGGACAATCCCTGGCCTTTGAGGAACTCCCCAGGGTGCAGCAGCCCTTGGACCCTGACCATCAGCAGGCAGCTCTACCTCCAAGCTGTCTGCATTTTGGAGGAAGGCGTCTTTTCTGTAAGGCTGTCCCTGGAGCAGAGAGCCACGGGCAGAGCTAACCCTGCCTGCCGTTCTTCAGAGCAGGGACCTTTCTAGGCATTTTACCTCCAGATAGGGTGGGACTGGTGATGTGCAGGCAGGAGCTAGGCCCATTTCCAGAGACCCCCTGCTTCACAGCTCTCAGCACATCTGCTGGGCTGGTTGGGGCCTCTCCCCAGGCAGCAGTCCTGGCTAAGAACAGATGGAATGAGATAGGGGCAGTAGCAGTTTTCAAGCTTTGGAGGATATAGCAATTCTCTGAGCTGCTTGGGAAAATGCGATTCCCAGTCTTGGGCTATAGAAACTCTTGGCCCTGGACTGTGATGTTAGTTCATACCAAGTGCTTCCGACACATGCTGTGCAGAATGGACTTTGAGCTGCTGAGACGTTCTCTGTTCTGAATCCCTACTTTCTCAGAGGCACCCTCTCTGATCTGAATCCTTTCTCCTCTCTGCAGCAGTGGCTTATCGGCCCACAGATGGCACTGCCATCTGCTCAGGTCCCATGTGCATAGGTACCGTGTCCCCACCCCGGGATCCCACCACAGGTGGGACCCTTTCTCCAGACACACCCAGACACTCACCCAGGAGAAGCCAATACAGCCGATGGCCCCACACAGCATGTCTGCAAGCATGGCCGGGTACGAGCTGGCTGTGGGGAAGTAGGCGAAGAAGTAGGGGCTGTGCCAGTGCGTCACCTGCATGGGAGGATGGAACAGCTACTCAGGAGCGAGAAAAGCCAGGCCTCAAGAGAGTGAGGGACCCAGGTACACCCATGGCCCCCAGTCACCAGGCTCAGCCAGACCCGGAGTTGGGTCAGTGCAGTTCCCCAAATGTCAGCCATCCCTGTAAATGGAGCATTTACACATCACCTTACCATACCCACTCGCTTTAAATCAGCTCCTCCTTTTTGATACTGGAACATACTTGCTAGCTCATAAGGAAATGTTATTTCTCCAAAATAAAGTGGAAAATCCTTATCATTTTCCATAACAAATGTAGTCTCAAAAAAACCACACTGTGCTTCAAGTTCTTGCTCCCGTGCTCTCTTCAGTGCAGGTGCTGCCCCAAGGCTGATTGCTGTGTGCCAAAAGCTTAGTTTTCCTAAAACTACTCTAAAAAAAATAAACTCTCCATTTAAAGAAAAAGAGCCTGATTTTTGAGGTTTCTTCAGTCAAGCCACAAACACGCATCTGGTCTTCCCACTGCCCCTGGCTCTTCTAGAGGAACCGAGTGGTTCCCTCCAGCCAAGCAGCTCCATCAGCCCCCAGACATCTCGCCTTCAGCCTGGCCACTGTCCTTTGCCATTTGCTCTGGCTGGGGGCATCCCACCCTTCTGCAGCCCATAAGGTGCACACCTGCCGTGCCGTGGACAAGGCACAGAGGAAAAGCTCATGTGGGTTGGGAGGGGACCCATAAGGGACAGTGACAGCTCCATGTGGCACACTTGGGGACAGGGTTTCAGGATCCAGGAGGCAAGGGTTGAGGTGCACACCTAGGCAGGAGCCTCTCTGGGCTGGGAAGGTCTCCATGGTAACAAGGGGCCAGCTTCAAACATCTCGGTGTCTGAAAGGATAATTCGGAGAGGACAGAGGAGCAGGTATAGCCTAGTCTTTGCATCTTTAAATTTGTTTCTGCCAATGTAGTGCCTGACCTGGAACAGAATAAAGCTCTCAGGACAACCCTCAGCCCCTGTGCAGGGAGAAGGTATAGAGACTGCCATTCAGACCCCTCTCGGGCTGTGACCATGCACTGCTTTCCAAGAGACGTTGTCCTGTTCCCCATCGTCCCTTGCTGGTGCTCCATGTCCATCTTGCCTGTGGGAATCGCATGGTGTTACCTGGACTGTAAGTTCGGCAGGGACTCTGATTTGCTGGGCTGCCCTAGACAACTGACTGCACCTCTCTGTGTGAGGCATTCCCTCAGATAAAATGAAAGCACATGCTCTGGTGCTTCCTCCAGGCCTGGCTCAGAATCCCAGGAGCTGAGGATATGCTCTGTCTGGCTTGGCTGCTCTGCTTTGAATGTGAGTGTCTGCACACCATTCGTGTCGAAATCCTAACCCCCAAAGTGATGGCATCAGGAGACGGTGTCTTTGGGAGGTGATTAGGGCATATGGGTGGGGTCCTCTTAATAAGATTAGTGCCCCCCCACAATGGGATTAGTGCCCTCGTAAAAAGATGCGGAGAGCTGGCTACCTCTCGGTTATGTGAGTACACGTGGGAAGGCGGCTGTCTGTAAACCAGGGAGAGAGCCCTCACCTGCACCTAATACCAGTCTCAGACTTCCAATCTCTAGAACTGTGAGACATCAATGTTGTTTAAGCCTCCCAGTCTACATCATTTGTTAAAGCAGTCCAAGCTAAGATATTATCGTTTCACATGGTCTGGGAAGAGATCCAAACATTTCTTTCTCAATAGCACTCATCATTAGGTACATGTTGTCTAAGACGTAGCACGAGCAATCCCCTGATTGTGAAGGCAACTGACTGAGAAGGCTCACCAAGAAGTCGGAGTGTTCAGAAGGTGTATTTAATAATCACAGCCACCCCAGGTCTGCCAGGGCTGGGGGAGTGGTGGAGAGAGGGCGCTAGCACAGTCTAGGTTTGGGAGCTCAGGTGCAGGATGTTGGTGGTGAGGCTGAGAGGCCGAGAGGAGCTGCGTAGGCTGTGATGCCTTCAGCACCGCAGGTCCAGGCCCACGGCATTGTTAGGGGCTAAAAACATGCTTAAATTTATTTCATAATCAGGAGGAAAAAGAAGTGAACTTTCAGGTTAAAGAAAAAAAAATTTATGTTAATGTATGCGTCTTTATGCCAATGCATTTGTAAAGCATAATTGTCCCTATTTCTAGGGAGGAAGGAGCCGATGAAGACAAAGCCCCTGGGGCCCAGGAGAGTAAGAGCAGCCGGGGCCTGACTCGCCCCTCGGCACCTGGCGACCCTGCGTGCCTTTGTCTCCCTCCCCTCCCTGTGGCCCCTGGGCTGGAAATGGACAGAAGCGATTCTTGATTAAGGACAGATGTGTGCTCCTTTGCTTTACTCTCCGCTGATACTCACAGCAACATTTGAGATGGCTGGGCCTGAACTTGCTCTGCTCACAGCCTGAGAGCTCACCTGGTTTTCTGCAATCACTGCACCTGGTGGGTTGCAGCTCCCACCCAGGGGCCCTGCCCAAGACCTGTGCGTTTCTCAGCTCAGCTCCGCGCAGTGAATACCCCCATAGAAGGAAACAGAAGACTTCTAATCCTCCCTTCAGTCTCCTGTACTCCCCACTGCTGACATTTAACCATGCCTCTCCTGAAGGGTTTTATGCTGAACAGCTTAGTGTATTTGCACAATTTCTAGCAAGAACCTGAATCCCGTTTTTTGCTCAAAACACAAATGCCAAGTGAGAATCCCCTGGAAGAGGAAACGGGAGTAGTGTGGCGAGAGAAACCGGTCCCTGAGGTCCAGGGCCTGACGCCTAGCCCCGCCCCATGATCAGAGGCCTGTGACCTTGGCCGACCTTATGACTTCCCAGGGCCTTAACATTCTGTTTGAATTGGATGAGTGGGGCCTGATGGTCCCAGACCCCTCTTCTACGAAAATCACATGTCGTTGCTCATGGGCCTTACAACCACAGACAGGCCGGGTGGTGGCAGCAATCAGCCAGTGCAGCCCAAGGAGATTTTCCCTGCCTGGACTCTGCACATTGTTGCATGGAAGGGCAGGTTTGGCCATCCTCATAAACATTCCTGATCTGGAAACTGGCCGGGCGGCAACTCCCTGGACCCCTGACCAGGCCAGAGCCATATTAACCAACAGGCGTTTAGGTGAACTCCTTGGCAGGGAAAATCTACTATGGAAGCATAGAGTGGAAGGGAAGTTTCTCTGAGCTCCAGCCCTGCTGCCCTGTGAGTGAGTATCGGAGATGGCAGCCAGTCCCATTTATTTCTGCCCTCTGTGTACTCCAGGCCTACTGGCTTCAGAGAAAGAGGGCTTCCTTGGTGGGCAATGCCATGCTGCCCACTGTCAAACTAAATAAAGCATCCCTTCCACATATGCTAGTTACCTTTTGTTAAACACAAGGATGGTGGAAGTGCCCTTCATTTGGGGCAAATGACTTACTTAAAAGCAGCCACCAGGGGCTTGTTTCCTGATGCATATGAGGGCATGCTGTATGTACCGGGTGTCTGCGGGCAGGGAATGAGTCTCAGGGCACTTGGAGGAAAGAGCCTCACTGCCTTTGGAGCACACCGGATTTGGGTTGGAATCCAGTGTCATCATTTACTAGCTGTGTGACCTGAGGTGGACCACCTAAACTCTCTGAGCCTCAATTTCCTCAGTTGTAAAATAGAAATTACAAAAGTTTCTCTCCAACCTGACTGCCATGAGGATTCCTTGAAACAACATGTGTGAATTGCTCAGAGCCCAGTAGGTGCTATTTGAGTGCCAGCCCTCCTGTTTTCTGACCTCGGGTGCACACCTACCCCTGGCATGATTATCTTCTCAATGTCGTTAATGATGTCCTCGAAGGTGTCTGGCTCCTGGGGGGCAGCAGCAGGGATCAGCGGCCGCAGGTAGCCAGGCTCCACATCAGGGTAGACCTGGCGTCCCTCAATGCCTTCCAGGTAGTTGGCCACATAATCCACCATCTCCTTCCCTCTCCTGCGGAATTCACTCGAATTCATGGTTCCTGGGCTCTGTCAGACGTGAAAACTGCAAACAGAGAGAACATGATTCAGTAAGTAAATTTTGAAAACTCCTGAACTGGAAGACGGGGATTCCAAGCAAGCAGTGAGTAGGGCCACCTGGGCAGTGACCACATACCCTGGAGACCACTTGGATCCCAAGTAAGGGAGCTTTCCCTCCATGTCTGAAGGAGGTAGAAATCGCACTGGATTTGGGACTATGACAAAAGCTGCATCTCCTCTTTACTAGCTAGCTATTCGACTGGTCTCTTTATTTCATTTTCTGCATTAGTGAAATAGACTAGAAGCACACGTTTATTTTCTTTCTTTTTCTTTCTCTCTCTCTCTCTTTCCTTCTTTCTTTCTTTCTTCTTTCTTTTTTCCTTTTTTTCTATTGACAAAGTCTCACTCTGTTGCCCAGGCTGGAGTGCAGTGGTGCAATCTTGGCTGCAACCTCTACCTCCCAGGTTTAAGCGATTTTCATGCCTCAGCCTCCTGAGTAGCTAGGATTACAGGCACCCACCACTGTGTGGATACTTTTTGTATTTTCAATAGAGACAGCATTTCACCATGTTGGCCAGGCTGGTCTCAAACTCCTGACCTCAGGTGGTCCACCGGCCTCGGCCTCCCAAAGTGCTGGGATTACAGGCATGAGCCACCATACCCAGCCTATTTGCATAATCTATTCTAACTTTAATGAAAACACTGGTCCAAGTCCTGCCTCTGCCCCTTACCTGCCTTTGAAAGAGACAAACTTGCCCCTTAGAGCCCCTCTCCTCATCTGGGAAATGAAGACGGTGATGCTGACCTCTCAGGAAGGTATGAAGGCACAATCACACAATATACCCAAGCCTCGGCTCAGAGCCTGGGGCAGTGCACCCCCTCAAAGTTAGTCTTCTTCCCTCGTCCTGATTCCACCACAGATGGAGCTGCACCTTTATGCCCCATCTGCTTTTCAAAACGAATGCTCTCCTCCCTCCTAGCTTAAGTCATATGCAGGCAATTCTCCTTATTGCTGGTAGCCGTATTCTATCTACAGCAGTTGCCATGAACTCTGAATCAGTGAATACTGAACCGTTTCTTCTAGGGGAAATACTGTTTCCTAAAGAGTGATCTCAACATTTTTGTCAACAAATCAATACAGAAACTTATGTGTTTTTAAAAGACACCGTATTTAGCATATATCGATTCATTAACTTTGGACTCACAGCCAACAGCACCATCACTCTTGACTGGGGAATCTTCTCTAACCTGGCTATTTTCTCCATAAGGCACATCTTGTGCAAAGGATGGCTAGGCAGCACTTCTGCACCACATTTGGTGGTCATTTTAAACAGCAAAATTGCCAAGGGGGAAAAAAACATTAAAATGTGAAGGACATGGCACTAAATAGACAGAGAGAAGGACACATCTTTCCAGTATGAGAGCTGAAGCCAGAAGGCAGCACGTCCGCGTGTTCTGCCTCAGCTGGGAACACGTGCATTGGACAAGCACATTCTCCACCATGCTACACATATGCACGTCCCTCAATGGTCTCAAAAGCACCACGAGCATAGATATTTATTGACATTGGGGGTTACACATAAATTTTAGCAAGTGGGAGAATTTGCCTATGTGGAATCTGTCAATAGGAATCAATTGTATTTTCAAAACAGGACAGTTAACAACACAAAGAAAAAGATAAGCCTAGAATCCCACCACCCAAAATTCTGGCATGTGCCCTTCTAGAATTTTTATTTTATTTTATTTTGAGAGGGATTTTCACTCTTGTTGCCCAAGCTGAAGTGCACTGGTCTGATCTCGGCTCACTGGAACCTCTGCCTCCGGTGTTCAAGTGATTCTCCTGCCTCAGTCTCCTAAGTAGTTGGGATTATAGCTTAAGTCATATCTTGGGGTGCCCGTCACCACCCCAGATAATTTTTGTAGTTTTAGTAGAGACGGGGTTTTGCTATGTTGGTCAGGCTGGTCTCAAACTCCTGACTTCAGGTGATCTGCCCACCTCGACATCTCGAAGTGCTGGGATTACAGGCATGAGCCATCACTCCTGGCCTCTAGAATATTTTCTATTTGTGAGAGACAATTGCATGCTAACCAAGGGATACATTTTCAAATCCCTTTCATACTCTAAAGTTGTATAATTTAAGACGATTATCCCTTGGGAGTAAAGTGCTTAGGATGACTCTAAATTCACTGTTATTAGCAATGCCGATGACCTTAATATCAGCTTCCCAGCAATTCTCCATTTTCCCCATTGCCCAAACTGGGACTTTTAACAATTTTTGTGAGGTTAAAAGTGGTAAAGAAAAATTGTTCTCCGGACACTTGTTAAAAGTGACAAGATGGATTTTACCCAAGACTACTGCAATAGGGATAAAGTGTTACAAAAGGGCAGGGACTGGCTCAACTACGGAAACAACAGGGCACAGAGGGACTTACGGTCAACAGGCAGATGAGAAATCCATGGGTGGAAAATTACTAAGATGAACTTGGGTCAGTAACAAGGGTGGAGGGGGAAAAGGAACTCTGATTGGATACAAAAGCTGGAAACACATAAGCTTGATTGAACATCAAGAGCTTGCTCAGCAGGTGAAGGAGACTTGGCTAAGCTCTTCCCTCTTGGGGCAGAGGAGCTTGGCTGAAGGTTGGTTAAGGTCCTTTGACAAAGGTAAACCTGCTTGAATGCGGTTTTCCTTCCACTGGCATTCTCTCAAACACTTTTATTTCCGTGTTCTCTGCTAGATGAACCAGGCTGGCCAACATGGCAGCCTGTTCTTGTGTCAGTTTGCTGAGAATGATGGTTTCCAGATTCATCCACGTCCCTATGAAGGACATGAACTCATCTTTTTCTATGGCTGCATAGTATTCCATGGTGTATATGTGCCACATTTTCTTTATCCAGTCTATTATTGGTGAACATTTGGGATGGTTCCAAGTCTTTGCTATTATAAACAGTGCCACAGTGAACTACCTGTGCATGTGTCTTTTTATAATAGAACAGTTTATAATTCTTTGGGTATACACCCAGTAATGGGATTGCTGGGTCTAATGGAATTTCTATTTCTAGGTCCTTGAGGAATCGCCACACTGTCTTCCACAATGGTTGCACTAATTTACACTTCCACCAATAGTGTAAAAGTGTTCCTGGTTCTCCACATCCTCTCCAGCATCTGTTGTCTCCTGATTTTACATAAAAACTGTTACAGCAGTTTTTATGGTATTTCAAGGCTTATTAGATCCAGCCCCCATATTAAAGCTATTGGTTGAGGATGCATTTCTCAGCTAGTGAGTGCTTGAGTGGCAGTGATTGAGATGTAAGATTAGACTTTATAGCAACAGCGAATGCGAACTAACAAGCATGAGAAAAAACACATTGACAATCGGAAGTTCTGTTGCATCTCTGTGCTTCTTAAGCCAAGTGCCAAGGACCATCCTGTTCACCAGCAATATCATGGCCGCATGCTACTTTAATTTTTAGTTTAAAGTAACTGTTTATTTTACATTTTGCACACACAGTGAAACTTGGTTTTTACCTCAAGTGGGAGTATTTCAAATTAATATGACTCAGGTTTTTAAGCCAAGCAGTATCACGCCGCAAATCTTTTTGCTAGCTTGTTTTCCTTCACTAATATCTAAGTACGTGACATTAAAGGTAGTAAAGAAAAGCACATTTCTCATGTTGATAGATACTTTTCTTTTTTCTTTTTCTTCTTTTTAAATTATTGTCATCCATTGACCATTTTATTTTATTTTTATTGTACTTTAGGTTCTGGGTACATGTGCAGATCATGCAGGATTGTTGCATAGGTACACACATGGCAAGGTGATTTGCTGCCTCCATCCCCCATCACCTATATCTGCTATTTCTCCCCTCGTTATCCCTCCCCACCCTACCCACCCCCTGCTGTCCCTCCCCTAGCCCCCGAAACTGACCACCGTGTGTAATGCTCCCCTCCCTGTGTCCATGTGTTGTTAGTGTTCAACACTCGCCTATGATTGAGAACATGCGGTGTTTGGTTTTCTGTTCTTGTGTCAGTTTGCTGAGAACGATGGTTTCCAGATTCATCCACGTCCCAATGAAGGACACGAACTCATCTTTTTCTATGGCTGCATAGTATTCCATGGTGTATATGTGCCACATTTTCTTTATCCAGTCTATTATTGGTGAACATTTGGGATGGTTCCAAGTCTTTGCTATTATAAACAGTGCCACAGTGAACTACCTGTGCATGTGTCTTTTTATAATAGAACAGTTTATAATTCTTTGGGTATACACCCAGTAATGGGATTGCTGGGTCTAATGGAATTTCTATTTCTAGGTCCTTGAGGAATCGCCACACTGTCTTCCACAATGGTTGCACTAATTTACACTTCCACCAACAGTGTAAAAGTGTTCCTGGTTCTCCACATCCTCTCCAGCATCTGTTGTCTCCTGATTTTTTAATGATCGCCATTCTAACTGGCGTGAGATGGTATCTCAATGTGGTTTTGATTTGCATTTCTCTAATGACCAGTGATGATGAGCATTTTTTCATATGTTTGTTGGCCTTGTAGATGTCCTCTTTTGAAAAGTGGCTGTCCATATCCTTCACCCACTTTTGAATGGGTTTGTTTGTTTTTTTCGTGTAAACCTGTTTTAGTTCTTTGTAGATTCTGGATATTAGCCCTTTGTCAGATGGGTAGATTGCAAAAATGTTTTCCCATCCTGTTGGTTGCCAGTTTGCTCTAATGATTCTTTCCTTTGCTGTGCAGAAGCTCTGGAGTTTGATTAGATCCCATTTGTCTATTTTGGCTTTGTTGAAAGTGGGTAATAACAAACCTCTCTGAGTTAAAGGAACATGTTCTAACCCAGTGCAAAGAAACTAAAACCCTGAAAAAAGGTTAGATGAAATGCTAACTAGAATAACCAGCTTAGAGAAGAACATAATTGACTTGATGGAGCTGAAAAACACAGCATGAGAACTTCGTGAAGCATACACAAATTTCAATAGCCGAATAGATCAAGCAGAAGAAAGGATAATTTTTTTTTTT